AACTGTCATGATTCTGTTGATAAAACAGCACAAAAACCATAATAATAACAACAATAAAAATCTCAAATGAAATAGAACTGTTTTCATCCAGAAGGATTTCAAAGCACTTTAAAAATCTCTCTCTCCAGACCACTCAGAACACTCTGGTATCTATTGTATGCTGTATGAAAAGCATTTTGTTTACACTGTGAATGTTATACCTCAACTGAAATATTCTTAGCAGCACAACAATGTGAATAGGAAGAGAGTTGATACAGACTACTTTTTAAACTTTGAGTATCTATTCTGTTGTCTCCATCACACTACAATTAAGACTAATAAGATACACAAGACATTATCTTATGCTGTCAGTGTCAGGTATTAATCAAAGGACAGCCTCTGTAGCAAACTTTCAAGCATTCACTGGGCAGATGGCCCAGAAAAAAACACACTGTCTTGCTGCAGTAGGCCCATCAAAATCTTCTGCCAATGGATGTGACATCATTTTATTTGCTTAAAATAAGTGAGATTACATATTCCTCAACTAGCACAATGGCAAAGCTGAAAGGAACGAAGGTTTTGTTCTGTGGCCATATTCTGAGAATAAGCCGTTTTCTCATTGTAACTAAAAACAAAAATGGAATTGTTTCATTTTCACAGGGTAGTATCAAGGGTGACAGAAGCCTTCCAGGTAAGTCCTCACTCCACTATGATAAGTTTAAAATATGCATTTCTTGCTAAAATTATCTCCACCCCTTCAGTGTACAATTTGATCTTTGTGACCAGTGTTTTACAGATTCAGGCTGTCTGCAAGGGCCATGTTTTGAAATTATTCAAATAGTTTCTTTGTGTATCCTATCTGAAATGAAAAAGAGAGGGACTAAGAAGAAAAGGGAATACTTAGAGTCTGAAGTGCTTAGATCACAGTTATGAACAGCAATTTAAGCTTAGATGTCTTAATAAATGTATTTCATTCAAGAACACATCACAGAGTTAAACCTATTCTACCTGATGCATTACAACAATCCACATACAAGGAAAGATTCTAAAAGTATTTTTAATTAAAATAAAAAAAAATCAGGAAAGAAGAAAGGTAAGTTTCAGGAAGAAAACAAATCTTACTACTTCATATTCTTCAAAACATTTGTGACCTCTTGGTCACAACCCACTAAAAGTTTTTTACTTCAAGCCTCTCAGCTGGCATAATCTCTGTTGAAGAATGCCAGTTCTGATGGTGTAAGTTCTCCTTTTTGCCCATTCCTGTCAGATGAATAGTATTCACAAGAATATGTACTCAAGTGTGTACTCAAGAAAACAGCAAATGGAGCCTGAAGTCCACAGAGAGACATTTTTAGGTCACACCTTGTTGATTGAGTACCTAATGATTCATGCTTGTGCATGATGTGACTGTTTTTATAGTGTTGGGTCTACTGTTGCCTTGTGAAATGCCAATCACTTTTTCCCTTTTGCCAGATAGAAGACAAGTTAACAAGTTTGGGCAGTTACCTGAAGTGGCTGTATTTGGCTGTCAAACTAACACAAAAGCATTTTGGTTTGCCTTTAAAACACTTCTAAAATCATACACTGTATTGTTTCAAAGGCACACCTTAGAATCCAGAATCTAGCTGATCATAATAGATATTTCTGGGCCTGATAGTATCTTTGTTCCCCTTTTTGAAAAAAGCTCAGATTACAATTACGGCAAAACCGTAAAAAATGCAGGAGTTATTACATAAATCATGGCTAGGTGAGAGTAGAAACATAGTTTTTCTTGTGTAACGAATGAAGTTTCTCCTTACAAAACTGAAAATTTGGATGTAAAACAGTTAATGTTTCTGTATGTGCTAAATGTGAGGAATTTAAAAAAAGAAATCTATCCTGAACTATGCTTTGTTGAATGTAAATCCTTGCAACAGGCAGGAAAAACAAACAATGCAACTATTCTATGATTCTATGATTCAAATATTTTAGGAGGAGAAAAACTGACAGCACCTACAGAAAAACAAGAAACCACTGGAGACGGAAAGAAGTAACTGTTTTTTATCTATGTACATTATGAAGAAGCGTGGAAGATTCCACCACTATCTAATGTCAGTAACGGATATATTATAGTTCAGTTTCGAACAAAAGTGTAGCAGTGAAGTTTATAGAACAAAATAACAAATGAACAGGAGACTCAAGACTTCAAAGAGAAATGAGGCAAAAAGAGCTGAAACAAAAATATCCTCAGTGCCAAAGGACTAGAATGCAGCAAAACGCAATGACAGTTTTTAAAGGGTACTGAACAAAACTGTTGGAAACTGCAAGTCCCTAAGTCTGACATCCAGGCAATGTCAGAAACTCTTCTAAAGGATGCTGAAGTTTTTAGTATGTCATCTATTGTTAATTATAAAAAAAAGGGGGGGGGGAATTATACAACTAAAAAAAATCAGCAAGGAAAGCAGTATCTCATAGGTAATGCACTATTTTACAGCACTCTATGCACTCATGAGCAGAGGACATCCCATTGAGAGTCTAACTGGCATTCCAAAAGGAACTTAATAACAGAAGATAACATAATGTTTAGCAATTTCATCTTAAAATATAGAGAAGTTTAATATGGACACATGTAAAGTAAGGTATATTCCCATATGCATGTATAAATTATTTCAGTTCTGAACTTAATCCAAAGATGAAGGATGAGTTCGCTATTATGATTTGTGATAGAAACCATGAGGCTGAAGCTTATACGACAGCCCTGTTTTCAGTAACTCTGACCTCTTCACCCCCAAAGTCAAATGGTAGCAATTGCTAGAAAAGAAACAGAACAAAACAGAAATAAAGTAGTAAGCCATTATATAAGTTCATGCTGCATTTGCTCTTTGAATGTTCAGGAATACTTCTGGTCTCTATCTTTCTATCTATGGAAACAGTACACAAAAAGCTGTCAAGGAAAATCAAAGCCATGGAATGTGCCCTTTATGACAAAAGAAAGTAGCCTCAAGGTTTTCAGAAATAGACAGCTGAGTGGGGCTATCCTAGAGGTCTATAAACCCAAGAGAAACATAGAGAAGGTAACAGGGACAGCTGTTCATTGTCTTTTCTTGTGCAAGAACTAGACACTCTCCAATGAAAGTAGCAGTTGCCATCCTCTAAATAAGAAAAATGCATATTTAAGTTGTAGAATTCTTTGCCAGAATGTTTTGAATGTCATAAGGTGCCAGAGCTTCACTTTTTACCTCTCTCCAATTTTTTATGAACTGCATCCACAAACATATCTACAAACGCATCTGTTCTAAATCAGCATGCACTCTGAAATTAACAAAGCCGAAGTCTGGGAATAGAAGTCTATGACGTCAGCAGTTGGATTTGGATTCGTTTAGTCAATTACTGTAGCTCACTAGAACCTTTACATTTGATGAAATGGCTTTCTATTGGGTTGTACTTTTTATAGCATTTTTAACAAGAGTTGAACAGATTTCAAATAGAAGCATTGGTCTGTGCATTGTTAAAAGTCATGGAATATCATGTAGAAATTGATTTGTATGTGAGATCCCCTTGGTTTCACGTGAGGCTCAGTAGAGGAGGAATTGTATGTGTGTATGCATGTGTAAATCTAAGGGTGAAAAGAGGAGCCCAAGGCTTCAATATTCATCATAATTTTCTACAGGTGGCAGCATGCTGATGACATGTTGAGAGTGATCTGATTGTGTGGAACACTACTGTTCAAGGTAAGCCTCAGAATCAGTAGCTCACAAGATCGTAATTTCCAGGTTCGGTGTTTTTAGTGTAAATTACAGTAGTGCCATTTACTAGCAGAAGTTTCCAAAAGCAAGACAGAATTGCCTTTTATCTTTTTTCTTCCCCTTCCTTTTTCATAATACTTATAGCTCTAATTTCAAGACAGATGGGCAAATTACTGCACACTTATAACTGGAACAGTTACTTAAAAATCAGCAAACAAAAGTATTGACCCTGACAGTAATTTCTTGCCATGTATCACTTGCTGTACTTCTAACAATGTGATTCTCGAGTCCTAGTCACTGCTCAAAGTTATTAATGTTCTCACAGAAATTCATGCCTTTATATGCATAAACCATAGCACTCATTTTAACTGGCTTTATTAAAAGTCTGTTTTGGCACAATTTCTTTTACTGTATGATAAGGAGACCTTATTTAGGCATCTCAAGCAAAACAATTGACAATGGATGTGTCAAAATTAGTAGTTTTGTATTTTCAAAAGAGTGATTGCCTCAACCTACCAGTTTCTGTCTCTATATATGCAAGTTGCATGTGAAATACTGGCAAACATTATTTTTGCATAATTCCCAGAGTCATCATTTATCTGAAATAGTCTGGTGCTAACAGAAATACAGAACATATTTTAAAGTGATTACTGTTGGAACTAGTAAGAAATGCTTTGTGATTTCTTCTTTAAAAACGGGCACCCTGTTGCATACAGGAACTGAGAGAACCACAGTCTTTGTGACTTTAGGTAGGTCCAGTGAATGATCTCACTGACGTTAACAACAGTCTTCCTTGTCACACAAAAATGAGCAAAGTGGTCATGTACAACCTATTAGTATGGTTTTGTTCCTTATATGAGAAATGGACCCCACACATATCTCACTGAGTCTCCACTAGCATTAGCTCATGTCAAACAAACATTGAATCTGACAATTCCACAACTTCTTTGTATCACTTTACTCACTAAATAGATACATGTACACAGTTTCTATATTAAAGAGAGAATGAAATTGTCAAAATATAAGAAGGATAGTTTTTGAGGTCAAGTTTTCAGCTGCTGTGCAGAGATGATGCACACCTAGACTCAGCCACTGGACATTCATGACTATTTGTCTATAATAATTAGCAAACTAAGACAATTGCAGTAACAAACCAGGGAAATAAGCTTCTTCCCCCAAATCCACAAGATGTTATTGGTGAAGTTGAACCAGCAGACTCGTAACACACCCTTGAAATACCAACCAGAAAAGAAAACACATATATATGGTTTTCCCAGATTTACCTTTACTCTTCCACTCTTCTGAAAGGGTGTCGCAGTGAAAATATCATCATGATTGTCCTTCAGCAAATGCTCCAGGAAATCTCTCATCTGCTGCTTTCTTCTGAAGGCTCCCACTTTGGCAGTTATTGGAACTGGCTCGCTCTTATCTATGCAAAGAAAAATTTTGATTGTTCTAAGACAACAGTTATGTAGCATCCCTTTTAAAGTTCACTAACTACAATCAATGGTAGTGATAAAGAGTGCTGTCTGTCCTCTGTGGCAGTGTTTCAGGTTCTTTGTGATCTGATTTCTTAACTAGTTCATGCTTTCAAAAATAATTTATCTGCAACATTTTAAGTGGAAGCTTACTCCAGAGCCTTACACAGCAGTTGCAAGTGCATACATCAGCTATTTTATTGCCATTTTAACAGAACTATCCACGCATCTGCATGTGGGAGACAAAAGACTAAGATTTATCACCTGTGTCAAGAGGCATAAAGTGCTCAGACAAAGGCTCTGCTGCACAGAGACCAATTTACAGTCCTCCACATGATATTTATGGAATGCTCGTCTCAGACTTCAGTATATACACTCGTACCCTGTCAGGGGGAGGAGTTGCTATCAAACAGCTCTCCTGACCTAGGTGCTTACCATGGGGATCTCAATGCGTATAAATATCTCAAAGGTGGGTGCTAGGAGTACGGTGCCAGACCCTTCAGTAGTGCCCAGCGACAGCGCAAGGAGCAATGGCCATAAACTAAAACACAAGTTTCACCTCAATATGAGGAAGAACTTCTTGGAGGGTGTCAGAGCACTCAACAGGCTGCCCAGAGGGTTGTGGATTCTCCCTCTCTGGAGACATTCCAAACCTGTCTGGACATGTTCCTGTGTAACCTGCTCTGGGTGGCTCTGTCTTGGCAGGGGTTGGACTAGATGATCTCCAGCGGTCCCTTCCAACACAAATAATCCTGGGATTCTGTGACATGCCTGGGTGCTGAATTGGCAGATTTTATTCTGCAGGTACATTATGTAACCTGCTCCTGGAAACACTGCTCAGTGATGCATCTAATGCAACATTTGCTTTGGAACACTTGCACGGGAATAACAGATAAATGTGAGCAAGTATATATTGTACAAGCTAGTAGTTTATGGCCATTAAACATCTGAGCCACTTCAGCAAAAATGTTGGAACCAAGATTCTCTCCTCTGAAGTCAGTACATTACAACAGAACTCATGAAAGTTTATGGCTAGCTTTGCTGTGAAGGGTTACAGAAGAAGTGAAAAGGGACAGGTTTTACAAACCAGGATTTGTCTTCTGTTGTGTTTTAACACAAACTTGCTCTCCTGAGTTCTCAGATTTAAATCAAATGTCTGCATGAGATAACCTCATTAGTTTTTAAGAAATGAAATTTAATCTAACTTGGTCTTCAAACACACATTGCTGAAATATACAATTATTTTATCTCCAGAATCACAATATCAGAACATATTCTGTATGTTTTTCTTAGATGCCTTGAAATTTATTCAATGACAGACATTTCATTTAAATTTTAAACCAAATTATTTTGAAAGCTTACATGGAAAAATCCTGGGGTTTAGGTTTGCTACCACTGAAATTACTGAAGAATTTAGTTTCATGGAAGCTGTTCTACAAACTGTTTTCTTAGAAATGTATGAACTGCCGCACAGATTAACACCAGAATCTGTCTAGAACAAGTATCTCTCAGTAAACAGATCCAGGAGATGCAAAAATCATTCATCAGGAAGATGTAAGATACTTTTGCCCTCAGTAGGGTATGATTTTGTTTCCAATAGCTAAAGCTTAATTAAACCTCACAGTTTAATATCTTCTGCAAAGTCTTTGTTTTTAAGACAATTTTGTATATTCTGACTTCCATACAAATGCCCAATTCCATTTCTACTCTTCTTAAATTCTTCACATCAGACACATTCTGCAGAACTAAGTTATTTTTGAGACATCCGCTGAAATGCAAGCTGTTTCAGGTATTTTCTCTATTTGTTTTGGTTAAAAGCCATAAAATATCCCCATTTCCCTCAAAATGGGAAATTCTCAACAAAATCTAGTACATTGTTGTACATGAGAATGGGAATATGATGTGCTTCACTATGAGAACTGCTTGTCCTAGGAAGCTGGTGGTACATTGTTCCTGAGTTCACACTGTGCAGCTGACAGCTGGTGAAAGCCAAAAACGTGGGGAAATTTCTATGGTTTAAGGCAAAAAATTTAAACCCAGCATTGACTTTTACAACTTGGTTATAAATATCAGGGACACAAACCAGCTACTGTTACAAAAGGGCTATCTGTGCCTTCCTACAAGCCCAGTGTCCTACTATGCTTTTTAATTTGCTAACATGAAGACATGTAAGAACTGAAAAATCATCGTGATGCCTCTGATTTCTGAACTGCCCTTCTCTTCATCAGAGTTATAACATTGTCTTCGTGGCATCAGCAAATTATTTTGGGAAAACATTCTAACAGTAGTCTACCCTGGGTCTGTACCTTACGGTATCATTTGTCATTTCCTGCAATCATGGTCTCTTGTAGAGTAAAATACCTTGTGGTGTATTTTCTGTCTTCATTTCTGTGAATGAACAAAAAGAACTAATATACAGTCTAAGAATGACAAACGTTCTAGCTCATTTACTTGGTATCTTCCATCTGCCAAAAATGTATTTAGTAAATAAATCCTATCATCTGTGCACACTTACTGTGGACCTTTTTCCTTTTTGTTGGATATACTGTTCATACGGAGAAGTTTTCTGTTAGCTTGAGGATAATTTAAATACCAGGAAGTTTGGAGGGAGTTTGTAAATAACAATTGATGCTAGATGTTGATAATGTGGAACAGCTATTACTTGCATCTGAAATTATTTCTCTTTTGCAAGCATACCCAGTTTTTGTTATGGCTTCCATGTTTTGCCTGCCAACACCAGTTATAGATTTCCAAGCAGTTAGCAGAAACCCTGTCACTAGCTCAATATAATGTGCAGATGCTTTCTGTTCAAAAATGTGTTTACAGTCCAGTATGAAATTCATCATCTCACATGGGGCCCACAAAGAAGGCTCTCTCTTGTCCTTCTAAACCACAAACTAAAGTCCTACATGGTGCTTCAAATGGTGTATATGTCCTTGTGGGGAGCCTTTGTGCTGGAATAAATTTCACCAGCATGAATAGCAAAGGACGGTATGGCCACACCAACAGCAATAACTCCTGCCTGTGGTATAAATGAGTACATGGAGCAGCCCATAAACAAAACTTATTAACTCCTTCTCCTTTGAATACAGCTGTGCTCTGAAAACTGATTCTTCAAATATGTCAGTTTTCATCTTGTCACTAACATTTTACATGTTCAGTTTGCTAAGATGTGTGTAACACAAAATACCTCTATCTTCCCTGTGAGACTTGAATGACACACTGGGAGGGGTTGTTCTTTGCCTTTTGTAGATTCGTGCAGCCTTACACCACAGAAAACAGAAATTGTGTTAGAAAGCTGTGCTAGAAAAGTTGCCGCATTAGTCTGCCCCCCAGTTTGTCTAGGTAACTACCTGTTTCGCTTATAACTGGTTTTAATCAGGTAGTCTTTACATATAAAAAGATCATCTTGTCTAGATGATCATGGTCCAGATCATCTTGTTTCTTTGAATTAGGGACTGAGATTTAGAACTGTCAGGAAGTCCTGTGACAGCTCCAAGGTTAGGAGACATGTCAAAGGAAGGTTGTGTTGGAGGCTCCGCTTTTGCCTAAGTCATCACTCTTTTTTTCTTCGTTGTTATTACTGCCCTAGGGCTTTCAGTGAGACTATATTTTCACTCTCTTTAAGCCAGAAAAGCTTAGCAAACTAGCTTTACCACTGTGCTTTCTCCATTGCAGGGACCCAAAAAACTGTCTGGTTTTGAGACTCCATTTCTGAGAGAATTTTTTTTTTTAATGAATTTTTGATGATATATAGTTAATGGCATGGAATCAAATTTTCGGGCTCTTAGGACTTGCATTTTATAATAAAAACATATTCTTCCTGTTCAGGAATGTGCAAAAAGTAAAATATGACTTTTGCTAGGACTTTTAATGATTTAGAGCACTGCCAGTTTTAAAGAGAAGTCTGTTGTTGTTTGTTTGCTGTAGCTAAATGAGGTTTAGGTCAAATATTGTATGGGGTTTTTAATCAGGCTACGGCTGCAGTTGGTAGTTCTGATTATTTAATCTTTGAATTTTACACCAATAAACTTTATTTGCTCTCACTGATCAAGTTGGGGTGAGCAGTTCTTCTGTCCTTAACATAAGGACATGGAGCTGCTGGAGCAAGTTCAGAGGAGGCCACGAGGATGCTCAGGGGCTGGAGCACCTCCCATATGAAGACAGGCTGAGAACATTGGGGCTATTCAGCCTGGAGAAGAGAAGCTGCATGGAGACCTCAGAAGGGGGCTACAAAGGACAGGGACTCTTCATCAAGTACTGTAGTGATAGGAGAAGGGGTGATGGGTTCAAACTGAAACACAGGAAGTTCAGGTTAGATATGAGGCAGAAGTTCTTCCCTGTGAGGGTGCTGAGGCGCTGGCACAGGGTGCCCAGAGAAGCTGTGGCTGCCCCATCCCTGGCAGTGTTCAAGGCCAGGTTGGACAGAGCCTTGGGCGACATAGTCCAGTGTGAGGCATCCCTGCCCATGGCAGACTGCATGATTTTAAGGTTGTTTCCAACCCAAACCATTCTGTGATTCTATGATAAAACAACCAAAATAAACTAAAGGGCCATGCAATACAATTTATGTTTCTTGGAAGGTGGAAGAGTTAGTTATATACATGTGATTCTGTAATACACCATTGACTATGATGTGTGTGTACTGACAGAAAATACCATTCATTCTCACCTACATTTGCACCAAACTGTAATATTTGCACCAATGTAATATTATTAGTAAATCAGCTGCAAAGTTTTTACTATGTCTGAATTCAAGTCAAAATGAGCCTGATAGTTTTATAACAGTTGCAAAGTCCTACTTGTATCCATTTAGAAAGGTGTATGTTATGATGGTTTTCTACCTATTGTAGAAAGTCAGTGATAAACTGTAATTAAAATGACAGTAAATATTACTTGCATATGTCCTAAACTAAGGTGTTCACGAGAAACTTTCTAAGTCACTGCCAGA